GGCCCCCTGGCGCCCAGGGGTCCTCACGGGGGTAGGCTGTCTCCTCTGAGGATGCTGTGAGGGTCAGGGGAGTGTGGCAGAGTGCCCAGCGCTGCGCAGGTGCTCAGCTTAAGGAAGACAATACTACGGATCCTTAAAGTGCTCCTAGGTCTTCCTGAGTGGGCAGATGTGCACCATGAGCTCTGCGGGCAGCCTGTCCCCATTTGTTTGGTGTTAAGTGTTAGATAACGGAACCCGCTCACTCCCAGTGGCCTGCCTCTCCAGGAGATTGCACTGTCTTCAGCCAGGGTTGAAAAACATGGTGGCAGCCCAGGGGTTCTCAAATTTGGCTGCACGTGGTTTTGGCTGTGTGTGGGAATCATGCAGGAGTGTTAGAAAACATGGAGCCTGGTCCCACCCCAAGATTATGCCTCGGTTGGCCTTGGAGGCGGCCTGGGCATCAGCATTTTTAAAAGCTTCCAAGGTGATCCAGCAGCGTTTGAGGACCGCTCCGCTGGCTCTAGTGGTTTCTCTGCGGTGCCTTTGACAGTCACCTCTTTTTATATGCTGCATTTTTACTGGCTGCTCCTGCTGCATGGAAATCCCTCCTTCCCTACCTCGTAAACTAGCTCACTTCCCTTCCTTCCAAATGTCAGGGTGGAGGGGCCATAGCAGCAGCCAGCAAACTCCCTGTGAAAGGTCAGACAGCAAATATATTAGGCCTTTCAGTCCACATGTAGTCTCTGTCACACATTCTTCTTTCTTTCTTTTTAAAATGTAAAACCCATTCTTTGCTTGTGGGTCATACAAAATAGGCCATGGGCCAGATTTGGCCCACAGGCTATATTTTGCTGACCCCAAGACTAGAGAGTTGTCTGTTTCAGGTAGTGACTTGCCCATCAATGGAAGCAATCAAGTCATGGTTGGAGGAATTCCTGGCAGGGAAACCATAGGTGGGACTTAAACATCCAATGAATAACTTTTATGTTCTTTTACTACGTTGGGAATCCTTAGTTCTAATTCATCCCAGGTCCCAGGCACATTTCCTCATGTGTCTCTGAGGACCTCTGAGGTCCCCTCCAGCTCTGAAATTGTTGCCCTGTTCTGTTGTGCCTTAGTTTGTTGGGAAGCTCTGCACGTGTCAGCACAGCTTTCATTTCAACGCTACGTGCTGTGATTTAGGTGTCGGTGGCTTTAAGAGGCAAAGACAAAAGATCACCCCTGACCTCTGTGTGCAGAGAATATCTGAAGCAGCAACAGCTGGAAAGCATGAAAGTAAAAATGCTGTGAATTCACCTTCAGCCACGGAAAACGGACAACTAGATACGAATGGCAAAATCTTCTGTCCACATAGACACAAAAAGGACTGACTTATGATGATCTACACTGGACTCATCCTGGGAAGATAAACACAGAAACTTCCCCTCTTACCCAAATTCTCTGTGTCAGCCTTGCGACGTCAATTTAAAAATGTGCCTAATTCCACTTACTTTTGAACAAACAGACAATGAGCACTGTCCATTACACAGATATGAGTTAGGACTGTAGGTCCTAGAGCAAGACGGTGTGGATTCAAATCCAGCACTTGCCTCTTAGCTGGGTGACTCGGGGAAAATTACTTAATCAATCTGTTCTTTGTTTTCATCTACAAAATGGGAATAAAATTAGTTTCGGACGTAAAGGTTTAGCAGCTGAACTGTGACTCATCTTCTGTTGTCCAGGACAGGGAAAAGAGAAAACAAGAAAAAAAAAATATGATCTGGTCCACTTTGCTGAACCTGCTAATCCAACCTCAACATGGTATTTACCAGCAGAGAGATTAAAAAGTTCTTGTGAATAAAATGCTTGTAGTGGGCTCTACCTGGTCTGTTTAGATTGGCATGTAGAGTTCTGGGCACAGCCCGCTGGAAAATGTCAGCTATGTAGTTGTCAAAGTATAAACTGGAGGTGTTTCATGAATAAAGTAGTCCCTGTGTGGAAGTGACACCCTGCATGGCTTTTTAAGCGACCCCATGTGCTCTATCTGGACCAGAGTGCACCCTAACATGGCAAACAAGACTGGGGAGCCAGGCTGGTGGCTTCAGGCTTCACCTGTGTCTTGCAATGACTGGTATTCTGTGAATGATTAGTAATATTTCATTCGGAGTAAAATTTCTGACTGTTGTGATTTTACTTTGACAATCTGACTCTGCATTATCTGATATCCACACAGTATTTTTATGCGCGTTAAAGCACTTAGAAAGGGCCTGACATGTAGTAAGTGCTCTCTGAATGCTGTTATCAGAGGACTGAGGGACAGAGAGAATGTGCTGTGAGAAGCCCAGGGCAGGGCATGGGCGTGACTTCTCGAACCCTTTGCAATGGGATACAAACAGCACAGAGTTTTAAAGATCTGGGTTCAAATCTTGACCCCGATACTTCCTAGCAGTTTCCTGTTAGGGGACTTCATTGCCTCTCTGGGCCTCAGTTTCCTCATTTGTAAGTGGAAGGGGTTAATCCTAATGTCGAGACTTGTGCAGAGCGGGGGTGATGTGTGTACATGAAAGTCAGAGATCAAGAAAGGTTAAGGCCCGAACGCCATCATGAGTGTGGCACGGACTGGGCAAAGAGCAGGGTGGGGCCAGGGAAGGTCCAAGCCCCGGCCTCTGGGTTTGCCCAGATCACTTTGGGGTGCCCTCGTGTGTCTCCCTCTTAGGAGATCGCTAGCTTTGACAGCGCCTGTCCCGCCCCCTTTCATCTGAGTTCTCTGGTCGTAATTAAACCATCCACAAGTCCCTGCTGAAAGCCTGCTGGGTCTCAGGCCAGCGTTGAGCATTTTGGGGGCAGCTGGTGTTTCAAGCACAGACACTGCTCACGGTAGAGAGGGCTAGCGGCCCACTACTGTCTGTGATCCATCTTCCACTGGACAGAGCAGGTGCTGGTCACGGGCTGCCCACTGCCTCTGCTTCCCAGCCTACCCTGCGTGTAGGTCTGGCCATGTGTTGTTCTCACCACTGGAATACGAGTGATGAGATGGTGTTACCCTGGTCTCGGTTACCCTAGGGTGCTCGGTTTCCCCTCCTGCCTATTGGATCCTATTGGACGCAGTGACTACGAGACCCCAACACAGAAGGATACTGGGTCCAAGCTGCCCACCCACCAGGGACACCAGCCAGGGATGGTTACATGAGTGAGCAATATTTATATGTACTATCGGGTCCTTCACAGCAAAAGTTTGCAATCTCTGCATTAATCAAATTAAATTAAACACTGGAAATGAGTCAGTGAAAGGTGCTATGGAGGAAGTAAACCAGGGTGATGTGATAGAGTATGTGTGTGCATATGTGCGTATATCTGTGTATGTATGCATATGTGTGTAGTGTATGTGTGTGCATGTGTGTATATGTATATATACATATGTGTGCGCACGTGCGCATGCATATGTGTGTGTATACACACACGCGTATACACACACGTGTGTGTATGCATGTGTGTATGTGTGTGTATATACATGTATGTGTGTGTGCATGCATATGTGTGTGTATGTGTGTGTGCATGCATATGTGTGTGCATGTGTATATACACATGTGTGTATGTGTGTATGCATATGTGTGTACATGTGTGTGTGTGTGTATGTGTGTACTGATTTTGGATTAAGTTGCCAGGAGAGGCCTTGCTGGGCAGGTGACACCTCGGTGACATTTCCATGCCAGCTTATAAGCCTTGTGGAGCAGGGACTGCCTGTCTCTGGGTCTGCTCCCCAGTGTTCCCAGGCCGAGCACAGGGCCACTGGCTGCCTCCAGGGACACTGCGGTGAATGCCGCCCATGGAGTGGGTGATGGGGAGGCCCCGTGAAACTGAACGTACTTCCTCCTTGAACCCACTTTAACTTCAGTATTTGTTCCTTGTTCATCCTCCTGCCTTCTTCTTCCTCTAGCCGCCTGACCATCATCATCACAGCGTGGTGTGTGTGCGTGTGCATGTGTGTGCACACAGGTGGGTACCTGATGCCCTCTCCGATCAGTCCATGGCCCATCTCCCCATCTCATTATAACACCCCGATGTCCCAGATGGGGACAGATGCTTTTCATCCCCCACAACTGTGATAGGACATGGAACAGGTGGAAAATCAGCAACACGAAGGGGAAACAGGAGTTGGGTTCTATTTGTTCTGATAGAAACTTAGTGTCGTTTTTATCAACATGGAAACACAAACTACAGGAACCACAGCAGTGCCTCCTGGAGAGATCTGTACAACTGTCACATTGAACCATCTTCTCAGTCCCACCATGGCCTCTGATGGGGGCCCCTGGGGGACACGGACACAGAGCCAGGAAATGGGAGGGCCCTCAGTCTCATCCACCTTGGCCATTTTACAGAAGGGGGAGCTAAGGACCAATGAGAGGAGAGGCCTTTCCCACCAGGGAAATGGCAGAACTGGGGCTGTCAGTGAGTCCCGGGTAAACGGAGGCTCAGAACACCCCCCATTCTTGCAGGTGGTGTAAGGTGGTGGTTAGAAGCCTGGGAGTCGGGCAGTTCCATCACTGCTCACTCTATGCCAGCTGCCTTCCATCTCCACCTTCTCTAGAGCCGTCAGGGGCCTTAAATGAGTTAATGCAATCAAGTGCTTGGCCAAGTGATCAATAAGCCTTAGACATCACCATCATCATCATCACCATCATCATCATCATCACCACCACCACCACATCTTCCACACCAAACTGTAACTGCTCTGTGGGCACAGACTGTAACTTGAGGTCTTCAATTTATTGCAAACTAGTGTATCTGGCTCACGGCTCTCACAACCGTCAGCTGCTGCTGTGCTGTGGTATGTTATCATTAACGCAGCTTTGGGTGAGCACATGGCCCACCACCTGTGGGAAAGAAATGAAGGCAGTCCCTGCACTTAATGGGTCCGTCCACTCCCAGTCAGGCCTTGCCCCTCACTGGACGGCTGACTCCCCATCTGTACAGAGAAAACCCACTACCTTGGTGGTGCTGTGGGCCCTGGGGCCAGCCGGTGCAGAAGGAGGGCGCCTTACCTGGACCACTGCAGAAGGAGGCGATGATGGCCAGAATGCACACGATGCTCAGGTAAGGGATCCAGGGGGCGTGGTCCTGCGAGACAGCAGCGGTGGGCAGGTGTGTTGAAGACCTGGGTTCCCACCCCAGCTCCTCCATCCATCGCTTTACATCTCTCAGCCCCCGTTTCAGTGTCCATAAAATGGGGATAATGATAACCCCTAAGCCATTCCAGCAGCCTCTCTTACAGCTGCAAGGAGCAGAGAGGCTAAGTGATTTGCCCAAGTTTCATGGCGAGTAAGGGGACAAGCAGGATTCACACCCAGGAGGTGTGGCTCCAGGGCTCCTGCTGGTACCTACCAGCCAATGATGTGACAACTGTGCAAGTGCCTCAGATGGCAGTGCCAGGCATCTTAGGAGTTGTCTAGCACAATCTCTTCTATTCCATAGATGGGTAAACTGAGGCTCAGAGAGTGGATGTATCTTGCCCAAGGTCACAGAGCTCACTGGTAGCAGCAACAGGACCAGCAGTCAGGCGTCCCATCTCCCAGCCCGAGGCCTGTCACTAAACCCTCCCCCCGGCAGCTTCATCCGAGACGCCCCTGGGAAACCACATCACAAGAGGTCTGCAGACAGTGCCGGCTTCCCCAAAGGCCTCGGAGCAGTGAAGCTGGAAGCCAGCTCCATGTTGACCTTCCTCAAGCTACGGCAGGCACATCCTCTCACCTGCAGCGTCAGGGTGACCGTGAGGATCCCAAAGAAGACGGTCATCAGCCCAAAGCCGCCAATGAGGAGCGGTCTCCGTCCCAGGCGCTCGATGACCAAGCCCTAGGTCAGGGTCAAAGAGAAACAGTTATTACTCCACCTCTAGCAGCCAGAGAAGGGCAGAGCAGCCTCCGTTGCCAGTGCCAGCTTAACTTTAGGCTCTGCCCTGTTAACCGAATGGCTGTGACATCCTTAGGCTGCAGCAAAACCACAGTATACGCGGTGATGAAAGTTTGCCAGGGTGGGGATTGGAAATCATTGGAGATGGAGAAAGAGTGAAGATTTGTGACTCCGGGCACAGAGATTCGCAGCGCCACGCTTTAGCCAAGCCGATCTTTTATCAACCATTGTAATCATCCTTGGAGTGAGTGCTGGTATCTCATTGTGGGTTTGGGTTTTAATTTCCCTGATGACTAAGAGTGTTCAAGCATCTTTTCATCTGTTTACTGATGTTTTTGATATTGTCTTTTGTAAAGCGTCTGTTCAAGGCTTTTGCTGAGTTTCAAGTGGGTTCTTGGTCTTCTTATTTTGCGTTCTAGGAGTTTATATGTTTCGGATTCAATCCCTTGTGAGACGTGTACTCTGTGAATCTTTCCCAGTCTGGCTTGCCTTTCTGTTTCCTTAGCAATATCTTTTATATCGTCACTGCTTATCATTGTGATTAAATTCAATTGATCAATTAAAAAAAAACATGGTTCATGCTTTTTGTGTCCTAAGAAACCTTTGCTGGGCCTGCCAAGTGGCGCGATGGTTAAGAGCTGGCTTGGGACACCAGAGGGCCCCGGTTCGGATCCCACATATGAGGGCCAGTGACACTGCCCTCTGCAGCTAAGATGCTGAACAACAGCTCAACCTGGAGCTGGGCTGCTGTGAGTCGCTGGCGACGGCGTGGGCTGCAGCCCCTGCGGCAGTGGGTTGCCATGGGCTACCGTGTGTAGCCAGCAGCCAGCGTGAGCGGCCAGCAGCCGCTGTGAGCGGCCGTCCAGAAGCCGGCGACTGATCTGCCTCGCCCGGGAAGAGCGCAATGATGGTGCCAACTTGGGCCAGTGAAGCAACGTCCTCCACAACTAGACTGAAGAACAAAAGGACAGCAACTTGTCTGTTCTCCTTTCCCAATTCCCCAGCACTGTTCCCATCTCCCAATTTCCCAATAAAAATCTTAAAAAAAAAAAAGAAAGAAAGAAACCTTTGCTTACCCCAAGGTTACAAAGGCTTCCTCCTGGATTCCCTTCTAGAAGTTTTATAATTTAAGCTTTTATGTTTCAGTACATGGTCCATATTGAATTTTTGCATATGCCATGAGATCAGGGTTATCTTTCTTTATTTTCCATTTTAGTTTTCATGGCACCATTTATTATAAAGACCACCTTTCCCCATTGAAAGATGTTGGTACCTTTCTTATTTCTGGTCTCTATTCTGTTCCACTGATCTGTATGGCTGTCCTTATGCCAATACCATGCTGTCTTGATTACTGTAAACGTTTCTATAGTGCTTACTAAGTACCAGGTAAGGTTCCTGATGCTTGACAGATAGTAATAATTTACTCCTCAGAACATCTCTATGGGTACATGCTATTAGCATCCCCTGGTATATCCAGAAATAGAGACTCAGAGAGGTTTAGCAATCTGCCCAAGGTCACACAGTGGCAGAGCCAACACCTAAGGCTAGACACTCTGGTCCCAGAGTCTTGCTCTTAACTCCTGTGCTATACCGCCCCTCCCCCTGTCAGTGAGACAAATGCACACATAGATTTACCAAAAGAAGCTTCCCTCCCTTCGTGTATGCGAGGCCTGGCACTGGGGTCCAGAGAAGGAAAAGGCAGGAGTCCTTGCCCTTGGGGAATGTTAGAAGTTACACTGTATCCTCCCCTCAAAAAAGATATATTGAAGCCCATACTTTGAAACGTGTCTTTACTTGAAAACAGGATCTTTACAGAGATAATCGAATGAGGTCACTAGGATTGGCCCTAATCCAGTGTGAGTGGCGTCCTTGTGAAAAAGGAAGTTTGACCACAGACGCGAACACAGAGAGAACGCCATGTGCAGATGAAGGGCAAGCTCTCGGAGATGCTTCTACAAGCTCAAGACGACAACACCAAAGCTGCCAGCAAGCCCCGGAGGCTCGGGGAGGACGATCGATGCTCCCTTCCAGCCTCGGTAGGCTCTGCCTTCTGACACCTTCCTCTCAGACTCCTGACCTCCAGCAGGAGAGGTTACACATCTCAGCGTCACCAGCATGCGATACTTGGTTACCCCGCCCCAGCGAACGGAAGAGCTGGGCTCGGCAGTGGTGTGCTACACGATTGAAGGGCGGAAGGAAGAAGGAAGGGATGGAGGGAAGGAAAAGACGGCCTAAATTTTCCCTTATTTCAAATGTGATTCAACCAAAGCTTCCAAACGTGACTTAATGTGCCTTTACGGAATGTAGAATGATGTTACTTTATATGGATTTTATAAGACAATCTGTGTCTGCATTGTGCTCTGTGTTTGCATCTGTATAAAGTGCGTGAAGTACTCAGTGATGGCAGAATTCCTGCATCTCAGGGACTACAGAGCCCTGTAAAACAACCATTGCCATTTCTTTAAACCTACTGAGTGACACACACACACACACACACACACACACACACGCTGAGCACTGGAGCAAGGTGATGCCATCCAGGTTGGGGCCAGTGCCCAGGTATCCCAAGTGGCTGTCCTTGACCTGGACACTTTGGGGATGGTGGGTCCATGAGGAGCCTTGCCACACCACCAGTTAATGACTCCCCAGGCAGAAATTAGTTTATTGCCAAAGATTTAGCTATAGAAACATGGGAGAAAGGAAGGGGGGGATGGTTTGATTATTGCTGACTCCGCTCTCAGCAGAGAAGAGAAAGCAAAGGCAGATTGCGTGAGAAGAAATGCAAGTTTCTGTACTGCTTTTAACTGCTGGCAATTCTGTTTCCAATATGCAAGCATGTTAATCTTTGTTTTCACTAATCTCTGTCTGAAAAGAAGCCAACACCTCGGAAAATGGTGGTTACTCTCAAGTTAATTGAGTGTTAATGTCTGTGTTCAGAAGACAGGGTCTCGGGAATAACTTCCTATTTGGAACAGGCTCTCTCTAAATTAGAAATTAAACATAATTCATTGGAACAAACTTTATCCAAACATTCCTGTTTAAAAGATGAATGTGTGTGAAACCTGTATCTCTGTTTGGGCCAAAGGTATGAGAAATGAATAAGTCACTTTTTAAGTGATCATCATTCCAGGGTGGCCCATGACCCCTGAGAATAATAAATTAAAATGGCCTTGAGACATTTCAAGCCAAGTGCAAACTCAGACATGGATTGGGGCCAAGGGGACACACGGGAAAGGCTGGCCGTAGACCAGGCTTCTGCAAGTTCCCAAGTCCGGGGACAAGGTTTTCCTTGGGTCACAGCCATAGCTTCTGCAGCTCATAAGGGGAACACCCCCGGCCCCCTACCCTTTCCCCCTCCGAAAGGAGACAATGGTTCTTAAGAGATTTATGTTCATAAGTTCCAACTGTTCTCAGTTTTGGGCAAGTGGAGAAAATTTTAGCTTTTAAAGAAATGGAGTTGAGCGAGAGACTGGGTGGCCAGGGGACTTAAGAGTGAGTATGCTGACACCAGGAGCCCGAGCCCAGAGCCTGGGGGGAGAGGGAGAGGTGGGAGTGGGGGGCTGGGGGTGGCTGCAGCCGGCGCTTGGAGCCAGCACAAAGGAGCGCAGGGAGCCCTGATCACATCCTCACCTTCCTTTGATGGGGGACGCTGGTGGGCCTGACCCTGACGCAGGGGAACCACAGGAAGCGGCCAGAGATGGGGAGGAAATCGGGAGACATTTGGTGGAAAATCAGGCATGAGGAGCGCAGAGGGTGGGCTGCAGGGAGCGGACTTGTGGGTGTGTCCTTGTGCAAACTCAGAAATATTTAGAAGCACCTGATGAAAAGGTGTGCTCAGCGTTGGGGGTGGGTGAGAGCAGGCACTACAGGGAAACGGGCTTTCTGCACCAAACTGCCTGTCTGCTTGGAGAGGCTGGCCCTGACGCTGTGGACCCGCCTCCACACCTTCCTCACTCCCCTCCCAACTCCCCTCCCCCATAAGGATGAGCCTCAGGACCTGGACAGTCCCCGTGTCTATATGCATGTTTTCTACCAAGGCAACAGATTACATAAGTACTTCTCAAATGGTGCGTATGCATTTCGTGTTCAAATGCAGTGAATATGAAATAGCCGCTTACCCTGAATTTTAATTTCTCAGCTCTGGTGGGTGCTGATGGCTTGGATGGAGCCCCTGGCAGCCACTCATTCACGCCCGCCCCCGTTCCCCCTACCCAGGGAGTTTGTTTCCAATTTTGCTGGTGTGGCCCCCTCCCTTCTACCAAGTCCCTGTAAATTCTGTTAGAAAAGCTGGGGACATAAACTGGTATTTTAGTGGCAGTAGGGGTCGTTTCTCCCTGCCCCTCTGCAGCCCACAGAAATGCAGCAGAATCATTTGTCAGTGGACCATTTGTAGGTAGAGGAGGATTAGCTGAACTCTGTCCTTTTGATGCCAGTTTTAGACAACATTCAGTTTGATGATTCCCAGGAAAACCAGCCTGTTTTCCAGCCTCTTCACTGCCCCTGCTCTACCCTCACCAACCCCGTCCACACCTGTTTTCTTTACAGTGGCCAGAGGGATCCTTTTAAATCAAGACAAGGCCGCCTCTTTGTTTTGTTGATGGTTTCTTTTGCTGTACAGTAGCTTTTTAGTTTGATATAGCCCCATTCATTTATTTTTGCTTTTACTTCCCTTGCCTTTGAGATCAAATTCATAAAATCCTAAGACCGAGGTCCATAAGTTTAGTACCTATGCTTTCTTCCATGCAATTTATCGTTTCAGGTCTTATATTTAGGTCTTATATTTAGGTCTTTCATCCACAGCTGCCGCCCCTCGTGGCAGGGGATGCTTGGGCCCGCGTGGCCTCAGCGACCCTCGGTGGAAGTTCACTCATCAGAGAGTCAATGCTGCACCAAGGAAATCAATTTGGAGAACCAGCTGTTTTTGCAAGATGTCAATTATTTACAGCTGCCCTAGCTGACGAGCAATGCCAGGACCCCAAATTAATTGTAACTCAAATGAACAAAAATGTCTCTCTCAATGGTATGAGGCCCCAAAGCCATTTTAATAGACTGTCAAAATCTCAACAGGAAGAAAGAACAAAAATTGGAAAGGCCTTCTCCACAGGCAGCTACTTTTCACAGGGCTGGATGGAATCATGCCTGTATTTTTGGAAACAAGGTATTAAGAACTTCGGAAAGGGCGAGGGATTTACTGAATATTGCCTCTGTTGGGTGCAGTGGGCCGTCGGGCACGGGGAGTTTTGTTTCCACAGTTCTGTAAGGTGGTGGATTCATTCTCGGTGGCTGCTGTGACAGGGGACTACACTTAGTGAGTTAAAGAAACACGTTTATTCTTACAGTCCTGGAGGTCAGAAGTCTGCACTGGGGCTCGTGGACAGAAATCACAGCTGCCGGGAGGTGCCCTCTGGACGCTCCAGGGGAGAACCTGTTCTTTGCCCCCTCCAGCCCCTGCAGGCCACCTGCCTTCCTTGGCTCATGGCCTTTCCCTCCATCTTCAAAGTCAGCAACTGCATCACTGCAACCTCTGCTTTTGTCACCCCGTTTTTTCTGATTCTCTCCTCTCTCCTTCATGGATAAGGAGGAGAATCACCCATGTGATTCATTGGGCCACCCAGATAATCCAGGATTACGCCTCCCCCGTTCCAAGACTCTTAATCACATCTAAAGAGCCCCTTCTGCCATATAAGGTAACCTGCAGCTTCCAGGAATTAGGACATTCGTGGGGCGGGGCAATAGTCTGCCTATCACAGGTGGGCGTGGTCACGTCCATTTTAAAGATGAGCAAATACATTCAGAGATGTTGGGCAAGTTTCCCAAGACCACTCAGCTGGTAAAGGGGTGATTAGGATGGGAACTCAGAACTGTCAGACCCTAAAGCCAAAGCCCTTTCTCCCCAGCACATTGTTCCATCTCGGTCTCCCAGCCTCATACTGAATTTAATCTCAAGATTTTTCAAGGGTGCCATTTAAATGCTACCATTTTAAGGACCACTTCCAATGGACTATTCTGCACCTCCAGCTCTTTTAGAAGATAGACTAGGAGGGAGGGCAGATGACTGGGGATGTGCACACAGGGCAGGGGACAGGCTGCCCAATACACTTCACCTCCCTTCACCTGGCTGACTCCTGTTGGTCTTCAGCTTCCTGGACTCCTCCTCCAGGAAGCCCTCCTGGAAACCCTCACAGAAGAGTTCATCCAAGTGTTGCATGTAGCACATTTCTGATTCTAGGTCTGTCTTTCTCTCTAGATCAGCGGTTCTCAACCTTCCTAATGGCGCGACCCCTTAATACAGTTCCTCATGTTGTGGTGACCCCAACCATAAAATTATTTTCATTGCTACTCTATAACTGTAATTTTGCTACTGTTATGAATCATAATGTAAATATCTTTTGTTTTCCGATGGTCTTAGGCGACCCCTGTGAAAGGGTCGTTCAACCCCCAAAGGGTTCATGACCCACAGGTTGAGAACCGCTGCTCTAGATCATGAGAATTTCACTGGTGACCTCCGAGCATGAGCATGAAATGGGTGCACCATAGCTGCTTGTGGAATAAATTAATGGATGCATGAACGAGTGAATCTCCCACCAGAGCTGTGCTGCCATCACTCCCCACTCTGGGCCACACGGAGGTGCCTGCACCTGTAGAACACATGTGATCTGAGTGACCACGGTCCAAACTGGAAGGCAGAGGCAGGTGGGCCCTTCAGAGGCGGCGGTGCCCAGTGCTGATCTTGGAAAGACCCTCTCTTTCCCTCTCAGGAGGGCGAAGTCATTTACCTCCTTCTCGGGATTAGTACTTCTAAGAAATACTTGGTCAAATATTGTCAGCTTTTAACGATGGTGATCTGCCAGTCAGAGAGTGGGGACCGGAAGGAGGGTTGGGGGGGGGCTGAGTCACATCAGTACTCCCTCTGTTTGCTCCTCTTTCAAATGGGGGTGAAAACTGGACTTTCAGGAGTGATGTGAGCCTTCACGAGATTCCACGTAACCCACTCAGGGTCTTGGGGAGCAGGAGAGGCCCTAGTCATCAGCCCTCCCCCCTCCCTCAGGTTCTGACCTATCGGCTGTCTGTCTGATCCTGGGTACGGCACTGCTGGGGGACTTGGTCCCTCAACTATCAGGACTGAGTCCCTGTGAAATCCTGCTCTCTGCTAGGATGCTCATCACGCCATTTAATGTGCATTCCTTGTTTAATCCTCACCCACCCCTAGGGGGTTGGGACGCTGTCCTTATTATAGCAATGTGGAAATCGAGTCACAAAACTGTTGAATCCCTTCCCCAGGGTCACGTGGCTCAAAAGGGGTCAGAACCCAGGCAGTGTGGCTCTGCCGGCCAGCCTCTGAGTGGAGACCCCCGTCACAATGTCCCTCACAACCCCCACCCTTCAGACAACGGTGAAGGAAACTGTATAGCCAATTTGTGCAGAATGATAGAGCTGTCACACTAGTGCTGATTCAGAGAGCCAATGACTTGCATGCTTGTCTGTCTGTCTGCATGTCACACTTTAATAAAATTTACTCAAACGAGAAGTAATAGAATGGAAAATCATTTTGACTTAAGGTTATGTGAGCAAAAGCAGGATTATAGTGCGTGTATAGAATAGGATCAGTACTGTGTAGGAATAAAACACACACACCTATGCGTAGGAAAGACGGCGAGGGGTTTCCCCAAGCTTCCTTTGGTAGTATGATCATAGGTGATTTCCTCTTTGTTTCTTTCTATCTTTCTTATTTTTACAAATTCACCCTAATGAGCTCATGTTGATTTCTTATAACAACAAAATACCAAAATAAAAAAACAAAACAAACTCCAAAACGAACCCTGTACTTTCCCCATCATTTTCATTCCAGGCTGTGCTTTTCTGCAGATTAAAGTAAACAATAATCGCTGGCTAGAGTCCAGAACTCGAGGCAAGAATTTTATGAAACTTCCAGATTGTGAACCATTAAAATATATACCCTCTAATAATAATTCCATGAATGGAAGGAGAGGGAGACCGAACACCAGCCTCAATACTTTCTATGGCATCTATTTTTAAAAGCATCTTGTCAAAATGCCCTATGAAGAGCAAGGAGCAAAATAAAGTGTTCTCTTGAAAACGAGTCAGAAAAGCGATGGGGAGCCTCTGCTCATTTGCACTGAATCAGCCCTGTCAGCACAAACCAGGGAGCAAGAGCGGAAATAAACGGCGATTCCATCAAGGTCACACAATGTCACTCTGATTGTGACCCTCTTCTCTTTCCTCTGGAAAGGAACCCCATCGTGTGCTGTGTGTCTGAAAGGCGAGGCTCAACCCCCACACCGACACCATAGAAGGGACAGGAACAGCACATGAAAGGCGAAACTGAAGCTCAGAGAGGTTGAGTGCATTGTCCCACATCACACAGCCAAGAAGTCCCAGAGCCAGGGTTCTAATCTGGTTCAGTCTGACTCCAAAACCAGTGCAGCTCCTGCTAGATTCCGAAGTCTCCAGTGCCACCCACCCAAATGTTCGTTTTGGATGCTATAGATTGAGAAAGAGTGATGAACGCTGTGTTTCTCTTTTTGGGGGGGAGATTGTGGCTCATTATAAAGCCACCCTCTCTATTACACCAGTGGACTGGGATGTCCTTTCTCCTTTTCTTTGCCTTGCCAACTCCTACATACCTGGGGCGGTCAGATGACAGCTTATGGTTTTGAAACACTTTGAAGTCATGGCCATAGACCCAAGGCTCACAGCGCTCTGGTCTGGATTCCCAGGGAGATAGGGTCCTCCACAGAGGGGCGCATTAGACTGTCTCATCGGTGACCAGGTGAGAGGTCAAAGAAGGGAGCTATTTTTTTTTTACGTAAGATAACAGGGAAGCAAGATATAGATAAGAATATTCTCTAGATGGGTGAAATGTGAGCAATCAACTGCATGATCAACTCTTAAAACTCAGATGCCTTTGGAATGACGATGGGCACGCTCCTTTAAAGGTGAGCCTGTTTACTGCTCGGGGGTCCCCATGAACCCTGTGGCATTCTCACGGACAACCCTCGGTTTACTTACAGAGAAGATGGCAGCCAACGTCTCGATGGCACCGGTGCTCAAGGTGATGTATGGGATCTTTTCTGGAGGGATCCCTGCTTTGCCAAAGATGCTGTTGGTGTAGAACCAAATCTATAATGCGGTAAAGAAAAAGAAGGGAGGAGGGTCAGTGAAGGGCATTTATTTCGTGAATTAAATTCAGGTACATGGTGGTCTGAGAGATTCGCTGCTAAATCCAGAGTCACCAGGTGGAGCTATGTGATATGACCGACTGACTACTCGTTTTCTCCCTTCTCCCACATTCCCTTCTTCTACGGACAGAACTCCTACATTACTGGCAGCGACATGGGCTCAGCTAAGTGTGACAATGAGACATAAACAGAAATGTTGGTGGGGCTTCCAGGAAGTCTCCTTCAAAGGAGCTTTTCATCAAGGAGGTGTGATCTCATTCTTTCGCGCTTCCTGCTTTCTGCTGTCGGGATGGTGAATGTGAGGGCTGGCGCTTCAGCAGCCCTCTTGGGTCACTACATGACCTCAGGAGAGCACTGCTACTGGCCCCCATGGTAACTTTGTGAGGACTAGAAAGGTCCCTGCTCCATGAGGCACTTCACTGTCATCCACGAGAAAACGGTCATAATAAATCTAGAAGGGGTACAAAGTGAATGATGCTCCTGAGAGTTGTGCAGTGTGCAATCTGTGTAACTAGAGCCTCTGCCTTGGGATGGAAGGCACCTGTTCAGATACTGGGGCAGGGAGTTAGAAGGAGCCTGTGTCTTTATTGACTAGAGTGGGCATATTTGAGAGTGTTAATAATTACTCCAGGATGACAGGCATAAGTCGGGACAATCCTGGGCACCAGAACGTATGGTCCTGGAGTTGCCGTACCAGTCCTCCCAACTTCCTTCACGTGTGAGAGAAAACCGATATGTTTAGGTCACTGTGGAGATTTCTGCCACAGGAGGCCAAACCTAAGCCTCACGGACACTCATGGGGCACCCATCACTGATGCGAGTCTGTAGCCCTGGCTCCATCTTGAACTAGCTGTGTGACCCCAGGAGTTTGCTCCATCTGGTGCGGTTCCTTCTCAGGAGAAGGATAACCGTGCCCTTTCTGTGCGATGTCACGAGCTGGGTGACAACTGTCACTGTTCGTTATTTATTTGAGATTTTGGATTCATGGGCTGGATACAGTGATTTGGGTGTTCTTCCCATACTAGCCATCTCCTTAAAAAAAAAGAGTTTGCTGAATGACAGAAAACCACGCTGTCCTGATATAGGAAAGCTGACAGGGACGCCGCTGGCTGCAAGGGCCTGGGAATCTGGTCATGATGGAGCGGAAATGTAAGTGTTTGGTGCTTGTAACTGTCAGGCTGGACTGCAGCTGGGCGCACTCTGTTCTTGCTTCGTTTCTGGAGAAATGAAGGGTCTCTGTGGGCCCTTTGACCCACCAGGCAGCACACTCCCTTTTCGCCCACTCCCTCGCACAGGTGGATACGACGCTTATGGTGCCTCCAGTCTGGGTTCTGAACCCCACGCGCTGACCTGCTCGTGTCCACCCTCTGATCCCACTCCAGGTGGCTCTTCCCGTGGAAGCCACGCCCTGGCGCTCCCCGCCCCCAGGGGTGCCATCCGGGTTCCTCACTGCCCCAGCCCCCTTCTCCGCCACTTTCACTGCTCCCTGCAGCGGCACTGCCAGCAGCCTCCCCAAAGACGTTAAATGTTAGCACGAGAGTCCTGGTGCATAAAATTACATGCTCATCCAGGGACAGTTATATAAGCGGCACTAGAGCCACCCGATACGTAAACGCGGCTGTGCATCGATAGGCAGACGTCGGCCTCTCAGAGCCCCAATCCCAGTCCAGGGCTGCAGGGAGGTCTTGTCCCCAGAGAGGACTGCATGTCACACAAACTGCCAGTCTCATTCCGTTGGCTCTAGAAAGCCACTTTTCTCCCTCCATCACCGTACAGAGCCGGCGGGAACTGTCGGCCTCTGCTCCCGCCGAGGCTGGTTTGATCAGGCAGTTTGAGGGTGTCGTACAACATGGGAGCACCAGGAAATGGAGTGTGCCCTGCCGCAGACCCTCCATGGAGTGTGCTCTGTGTGGGCCTCACCTGCCCGGGACACAGTGGCTCTCCTTCAGGTTGCCTGAGGCTCCTCCCACCGAGATGGACAGTGAGGTGGGAGGGGCAGCGTGTCCGCAGGCCTGCAAACCCCACTCCCGCCCCAGCGCTGCCTCCCGCAAGCTGAGGGTCTGCGGGCAAGTGATTTTATGTCTCTGAATCTCCATCCTCGGGAAGAAGGTAACCAGACCCTGTCTTTCAGGATTGTCATAAAACATTTCTAAGTGATGAAGTATCTTTTTTATAATTGGAGCATAACAAATGGTAGGTGTCATTCCAGAAGATTCCATCTCTGCTGAGATGCGATTGAGCCTCCGTCAAGGAGAACATCAGACAGTGGTGGGGATACCCCGGGGAGGAAGCCCTGCTGAGTCTGCTCCTGAGCCCCGCCTCCTCCTTGTGGGCTGGGCCTTGGAGGGACTTTGCACTTTCTTGCACCACGCCCAACACCCTAAAACCCTCATTCTTAACTCATGACACAGCGTTTTAGAGACAAAGCGTAATGTACATGCACTTTTTCAGCCCCATGTTGTCTAAGAAGCTGAGAGACCACACACAGCCAAGAACCCAGAGCGGAGCAGAGCCAGGCCTGCCCGCCTCCTGCCCTGTGGTTCTTCCACTGCGGGCGATGCCGGGGCTTTGAGCCCAGCTTACTGCCGAGATTCCTCTCCTACTAGCTGGTGCCCCCCGCCCATGTCTACCCAGGGCCTTGATAGCAGTGGGCCTTCGGCTGAGAGACGCGTCCTAACCTACCTCTCTGGCGAACCTGCAGGAGCAACAGAATCCTGATTTACCTTTGTTCAGAACAGGATGGTCCTGAGAGGGAGTGTGGGCTTAACGTATGCTTGCAGGATGTGGGCAGCGGAACACGGGTGCCCCCACAGAGGGCCACGTCCTAATTCAGGGAGCCTTTGAGTGTGTTACAGCACATGGCAAGAGGGACTTTGAAGATGCGGTTCAGTTAAGGGTCTTGAGACGGGGAGGTGATCCTGGGTTATCTACGGGAGCTGGAAACATAGCATAGGAGGGAGATAGGAGGGTCAGAGATCAGAGAGAAGGTGTAAGGATGGAAGCAAAGGTCAGAGGGAGAGAGGTAAACACAGGGGTGGCCGTCACAAATGAGGGGCGCACAGGGTCTATTCTGCTGTACAGAGACAGGAGACCTTGTCATTTAGTAAACACAATGTCCCACGAGCTGTGACAACGCCTTTGTTCACTGTTTCCATTTGGGGAACAGGCCTCCCTGTCAGCCCAAGTGACAAGGAGCCACATAAGGGACAAGGGATTGGGCAGGTGGGTGCCCTTAGAAGGGACTGTGTGTGCTCACGGGCGCCTCCTGCAGGAAGTGTGGGTCTCCTCTGCTTTCCAGACGGGTGGACAAGGGTCTGGGATCGCTTCCTTCTGTTGTGACTGGGTCTGCACCTTAAATCTGGGAGTGCAGAATTAACCAGTTGCTAAAGCTGCACCCTCTCATCCAGCTCCACTTGGAATAGAGCTGACATTTTGATCTTCACCTATCTGATTCCTGTGCCAGTCTCTCTGACCTGTTCTGAATTTCAGAGGGGAAGAAAGGAGCTGATGAAAAGGTCAGACAATTAAGTTTGCAAACTTTCCACCGTGGAAGCATATGGTAGAAAGTTTGCAAACTTAATTGTCCTTCCTTTTGTGTATTGTACCCACCCCCCAAACCCTATCCCGTATGCGACTTAATTTCATCCTCACCACAACCCAGTGAGGTAGATGTCACTGCCCCCATTTAACAGATGAGGAAACTGAGGCTCAGCCAGGCGAGGGCTGCCTAGCTACGAGTGGCAGAACTGGG